TGTAGTTCCAGCTACTTGGAAGGCTAAGGTGGAAGGATCACCTGAGCCCAGCAGGTCGATGCTGGGGTGGCCGTGAGCCTGCCACTGCACTCCAGCCTGGGTGACAGAGTAACACTCCAACTAAAAAAAAAAAAAAAAAGATTTTAGGTGTCTGTGAGGTATTTTAGGGCCTGACAGCACTTATGATAGATATACTTTAACGTATTTTTGACTTTTGTCTGCAGAGATGTGAAACAGATGCTCTTGAAGCTTGTAGAACTCCGGTCAAGTAACTGGGGTAGAGTCCATGCAACTTCAACATACAGAGAAGCAACACCAGAAAATGATCCTAATTATTTTATGGTATGTTAGTGTTGATAGTTTACATTTTGCTTTATGCTTAAATTCAGTTTTGGAAATCAGATGAGTTAAAGCTATTCTCAGAATTTAATACCTAATAACTCTCTTTACTGGCTTAGGGTGACATGGTAGTCTGTAGACCAGATAAAGGGAAGAGGCCTAGAATTGTCCAGTGAAAGGGAGAGACCACAGAAAGATCCATCCAGTGACAAGGGAGATTGTTAAGGCTTGGACTTGAGTAAAAAAGGAAAAGTTCTTGTGATTCTGATGGTGCTATCTGTTTTCTGTCACATTCAGTGAACTGTTCTGTTATGCATTGTGATTTGGTGTCAGCTCATTTTTAGCTGTGGTTTTCCCCTACCACGGATGGCAGGAAGCAGTTTTTCCTGAGAATTCATAACCAAGGACCTGCATCTGAGACTCTTATTTTGCATGTTGTTATAAAGTAAAATAGGAAAATAAAAATGATCTTCCAGCCAACACTGCCCTGAAGCTCCTGACATTAACACACATAAAGCAACTGTGGAAGAATGCTCCTCCAACTTCAGTCTTAGTAATTCTTAAAGAAATGTTGGGGCAGAGGGAAACTACAACTAAAAATGAACTGATGCTAAATCACAGTGCACAACAGAACAGTTCACTGAATGTGACAGATTGCAGACAGCACCATTATCATAACTAGATTAACAGAATGAATATCTGGAAATCATAGACTTGCTCAGTGAAATGAAAATGGCTACTAGGAAGTTAGTTTTTTTGCTTGTTCTTGCGTTATCAGGTGCAGACAAGTGACATCAGTCATGTTTCACTAAAGTACTTTTCAAAAAGTCAATTCTGAAATGATTACATATTTTTATTACTTTGATTCATCCTAGAATGAACCAACATTTTATACATCTGATGGTGTTCCTTTCACTGCAGCAGATCCAGGTATGTTGTCTGACAGTCATTTTTTTTTTTTTTTTTGTTGAATTTGTTAATTACAGAAAACCACATCCTTACCAGCACAGAATTGTAGCTTTTTGACCACTTGAACCATTTCAAATGAAAATCTGAATCCATATATAGTGTCTTGTCACTATAACAAAAAAGTAGAATTCCTCAATTAAATATAACCATTTTAGTTTTATATTTCCTCTAACATTTTGTTTTATATTCTTAAACTTTCAGGTGATTAGAATGGAGGAGAAAGATTCTAGTTCTAGCTCATGATATAGTCAGCAGCATATATTAATATGGATCAATGCTTGTTAATACCAATAATTACAGATTCCATTATTGCTTGGTGCGCCAGAATTCATTAAAATCCAAATCTCTGCAGACTTCCCCTTCCAGAAGAGGATCACTTATAGAAAGATTGCCTTAATTGTGATAAATGAGACTCTAGGGTGAAGAAGAAAAATTTTTTCCATTTGATAACAAACTACAAGCTGCTTAGGGTCAGAATTTTTCCTTTTGTTTATTCTGGATTGCAAGCATTGACTGTCCTGTGCCTCTAGCACAAAGAAGTTTCTTTAGGACAAGGAAGTAGAATTAAGTTATAGGCTGTGTCGTCTTCAGCTTTACTAAATGTTGCTAAATTTCTTTCCGGCATCATTATGCCATTTAATATTCCTAACAGCAGCATGAGGTTTCCTGCTCCTTATCATTGGCAGTACCTCTTATTAGACTTAATTTTTGTGAATCTCATTGTATGAAATTCTATCTTGCTATCATTTTCTTTTTTTTTTTTTTTGAGTTGGAGTCTCGCTCTGTTGCCCAGGCTGGAGTGCAGTGGCACACTCATGGCCATCCCAGTGTTGACCTGCTGGGCTCCGCAATCCTTCCACCTCAGCCTTCCAGGTAGCCAGGACTACAGTCACACACTACCACACCTGGCTAACTTTCTGTTTATTGTAGAGATGTGGTCTTGCCAACTTGCCTGGGCTGGTCTTGAACCTGCGGGTTCAGGCAATCCACTCTCCTCGGCCTTCCAAAGTGCTGGGATTATAGGCTGAGCCATCACGCCCACCCCATTTTATTTTGAAGTAGTGATATTGAATTTCTTTTCCGGCTCCTGTTGACCTTTTGATGACTTCCTTTAAGAATTGCCTATTGCCGGGCTCGGTGGCTCAGCCTGTGATCCCGCGCCTTTGGGAGGCTGAGGTGAGTGG